TCCTGAACTTCAGCAGCCCAGCACCACGGAGCTTACTTAGTCCCTGCATTTTAGCTGCCTAGCTAAGGGCTAACCTTACTCTGGTTAGCATTCCCATGCCACCTCTTTACCCACGGTGTCATTCATTAACCCACGCTGCTCAGCTGTGGAGCCTAAAGTTCTGTGTTGAACATTTGATAGGAAGGGAGAAGAGGCAAGAACCGGGTAGAGGGAGCATGGATCCTTGTGCGCTCAGAACACTTTGGATTGTGAACATTTAGCAACTTAGGGTAGGCAATCAATCAGTCAAGCAACCCGGCCTCAAACAGCCAGCATCATGCTGGTCAGAGGAGGTCACCTGTGCACTGTGCAGGCCTCAGCACTTGCTGCATCTCCATCCTTTTCCTGTAGCTTTTCTCACCGTGCCACTGTGCTACCCCTAAGAGCTCTCAATGGCCACAAGGGCGGACATTATATTGAGGGGGAAATTGCCCTTGAAACGTGACCAATCCATAGGGCCGGGGAGTAGGCTGCTTGTCATGGGAACAGGGTGGTTCTAGTCTCCACAACTAACTTTAAAGGAAATGCAGCTTAGGAAGGGGAGACGACTTGGCACAGGCTCTCACTTTGTAGATTGGGCTGCCATGAAACACTCCACCCTCCTGCCCGCTGCTCTCAAGAGCTAGGATTGCAGGCATACAACTGGGTCTGAGTTCTCAGAAGCAAGGCTACTGTCCTCCCAATGAAGCAGACCTAGCATTGAGTCCAGCCAGGATGGTAACAGGGATCTCAGGTCTTCTGAAGGTAACAGAACTGGCTCTTTATTCTTGACATGTAAGAACGGTATGTGTGTGCATGTGTGTGTGTGCGTGCATATGTGTGTGCATGCACATGTGTGTGCATGCCTGCCTCTCTGTCTGTGCTCATTTGTGGGTATAGCTGAAAGAATCGGCAGGTGTATATACATACTCTTCATCCTTCCACCTTGGAAGCCCTTTTGTGTCTGACAGAGATCATATCAATTCATGTTCTTATGTTCCTGCTATTTGGACACTATTTGCAAATAACAGCAGATTTTTGTGTATTTTTAAAGTCTTTCAAAAACATCATCTTTTGATTGTTAATATTGATTTGCAATTGGACAGGATCTAAAAATCACCTATGAGATAAGCCTTTGATCATGCCTGTAAGAAAATCCTTAGATGAGGTGGGAAGACCTACCTTAACTGGGCAGCACCGTTCCATGGACTGGGGTCCTGGACCGGATAAGAAAAGGGAGCAGAACCCCAGAATTCATCCCTCTCGGCTTCCTGATATCGCATTTAGTGTGACTGGCTGCCTCACATGTCTGCCACCGTGACTCTTCCCAGCCACAGTGAACTGTAACCCTTCAACTGCGTGAGACATAATGCATCCTCCCTTTGGCTGCTTTGGACAGGTCTGTTACTAGGGTAACAAGGAAAGAGACCAGCTCAGACCTCAGGATGCTTACTTGTGCTTTCCGTGTCTACTTTTTGCTGATTAGAATTTTCATGGCTCTGTAATAGCCAATTAGTTGTCTCTTTTTTTAAGTCATGACAAGAACACTTAACACGAGATCTACCCTTTAAACACAAGCCTGTCTTCCATGTGTTAGTTCAGCAAATTTTTGTGTGTATGGGAATGTGATGTAGGTGTATGTAGTGTACTTGCATGTGTGGGTAAAGAACATGAAGTGAGGCTGGTGGATGACAAGCCCTAGTGATACCCTTACTTTAGATATGCTCAGAACAATGAATATTTTGTAATGTTTGTATAGAATGCTCTGTTTATTCCATTTGATAAGTTGTCATTTAGCTCTAAAGTTTTGCCGTTCTTTGTTGGGGTGACCTATCTGTTTGTGAGTGTGGGGTGTTGAAGCCACCCACTATTTCTGTATTGGAGCTAGTCTGTGGCTTTAAGTCTAGTGGTGTTTTCTTATGAAATTGGCTGCACTTGCATTTGGTGCATGTATAATCAGAATCTAATAGCTTCTTGATGGATAACTCCCTTAATTAGGATGAAGTGGCCTTTATGTTTTCTGACCAGTTTGTTTTGTCAGATACTTAACACTGGATTTTTTTCATTGCCAGCATCATACTCTGTTTTTCCTCAGTATCTTGTGTCTCTTTATTGAATTCTATTTTAATATCCTGCATCGACTTCCTTATTTCATTTAACTGTTCATTTGCGTTCTTTCGAATCAATTCAGACATTTGTTTTTATGTTTTCTTCCACTTATTGGAATGTATTTAACATCATTTTGCTGGATTCCATGTCAGGCATTTCATTGAAGTCATATTTAATAGGAATCATTATTATGAAATTGGTAGATTTTGGAGGAGATGTGCTGTCTTGGTTTTTCATGTTACTGACATTTTTGCTTTGCGACTTGTACATTAGGAGTTAAATCTGTGAATAAAGTTTTTAAAAGCTAATTTTTAAGTCACCTTTTCTTCTTTCACTGGAAATGTTTGCAGTGTTCCAGAGGGACTAAGTAGAGGTGTCATTTTATGAGGGCAACTTCTTCAGTCCTCTCCATTCACGAACACCGTCTGAAGCAATCATCACTATCCAGGAGTAACAGTCAACTCTAAAGCCATCAACTCTTAGGTAAGAAGACATGGATAACACCACGTGTGCTCTCCTTAGGAGCTCTTGTCACTCTGGGTGTTGTGCTGAGAACCAGTATATGTAACAAGATATTAATCATTGGATATAGGAGGGGGAACACAAGAAGAGAGGGATGAGGGAATTTGGCTAGAGTAGACTGAAGAGGGGATGGTAAGAACACATATCAGATAATATCAAACAGTCTTCTACCTCAGGAATCTGAGGCACAGAAGACTGGTAAACTAGGCCAGGCTGTATTCTTCGGGAGAGGAATAAATAAAAGGAAAGAGTTAGGAAGGAGGAGAAAGCAATGTAGAGCAGGAACTGAGTGGAGCTGAGCTGGGTTGCTGAAATGGCAGTGGGTACTAAAAAGATATGAAGGGAGAGAGCTGGGTGGAGATAAAGATATGAAAACTGACTGGCCCAATTGTAACCGAGGCCTTTTGTTCCACCCAGTCTTGCAGTCACTTTTAAAAAAACCACTTTGAGGTTTAATATTAATTATTAATGCTTGGCCGATGGTTCAGGTTTATTATTAACTAGTTCTTACATTTAAATTAACCCATTCTTATTAATCTGTGTATTGCTACATGGCCCATGGCTTGACGTGGTGCTCTGGCATATGGTTCCTGGGTGGATGGATGGCATCTCTCTGACTCCACCCTTCTACTCCCTATATCTCTGATTTCATTTCCTACCTGGTTCTGTTCTGCATGGCTATTGGCCAAATTAACTTCTATATTAACCACTGGTAAAGAAACATATTCTCAGCAGACAGAGAAACATCCCACATCATTTCACCCTTTATGTTTAATCAAAAAGGAAGGTTTTTAACTTTAACATAGTAAAATTACATAGAATGGAAATGGTTATCCAGCAAGAATTACAGTTACAATACGGCATCCCACATCACCTGATTGTTGTGATTACTGACTTTTGTTTGGGCTCTCTCTCTCTCTCTCTCTCTCTCTCTCTCTCTCTCTCTCTCTCTCTCTTTCTCTCTCATTCCTTTCCCAGGCCCTGAAATACTGGAAGTTTAGCAAAGGCCTGTTTCTTCTCCCCTTCAGCCTTCTTTTGGAGGATCTATCACTGATGCTATCCAGGTCTGTGAAGAGTGTCTCACAGGCAGAGTCTCAGATCTGGTCACACCTTGGCAAATTGCTCTTATTTTCTATTCTTGCAGTGTAGATTAACTAGCTATATAACCCTACTCTTTTGTGTTTCCCCCCTTTATCCACCCCCCACCTTAGTGGTTAATTTCTTATATGATTTGAATATGTCTAACTGTGAGCTACCCTGACCCATTCTGCACTTAAGCTTTTGGACCAGGCTTCTTGTGAATGTTTCCTTGTGAAGTCATTAGAGAGCAGCCTTTGCCACGGTGACTGTTGTGTCAAGAGTCAGTACACAGTGCCTGTCTCTGGACTCATCTTCTGGGTGGAGTTCCCACATGGGCAGATGGATTCGGTTCCCACGCTGTCTCAGGGAGTGGCCTGCAGGTTGGCAATTACCACACATGGCCTCAGACAGATGCTGCACCTCCTCAGCATGTTCTTATAAGGTGGAAGAAGGTTTCCTAACTCCATTGTGATTGAGCAGTAACCCTTTCGGTCTTAAGGTGTTTTGGCAAGAGCTATTTCTAGCTCCCCTGCTTCACATTGGCTCAGGGCTATTGCTACTCTCAGAAGAAAAGCATAAAGTCTAGTTCCAGCTCTGAGGACCTTCAGGCTCCCCAAGCATCTGCTCCCACTAGCCCAGTGCTCTGATTTCTGCCTCCCAGGTTTTCCCTCGTTTTCTTTAAAGCTACATATATTAACCTATATCTTCACATTTTAGCCTACTTTGCCCTTGAGGCTCATCTGGGCCAAAAATCTTTGTGTAGAGGATTATAGACCCTCATGGCTGTAGCTCCATCCTCTGATTGCTTACACGGGGCAGCCTTTGCTGCATCCTGCTTCAAAGGCAGCCTCAGGTGTGGTATCTTTTTGAGCCTCAGCTTCTACATCTGTGAGAGGGAGACAGCGGCATTCCCTTCCTTGCAGGAGTGCTGCATGCTCAGAGTGAAATGAGATGGAAGTGCAGGCACTCAGACCAGAGTCACACTCTCACAAACCGGGCAGTGAGTCACACTCTCACAGTCCAGGCAGTGAGTCACACTCACACAATCCAGGCAGTGAGTCACACTCACACAATCCAGCCGGTGACTGTGGCGCTGATCCTTTGCGCTCCAAGTTACTTCTTTTAAAGATGGCTCTGGGCTGGATATGGTGGCACATGCTGTTCGTCCCAGTACTCGTGAGGCAGGGGCAGGTGGGTCTTTGAGTTCGAGGCCAACCTGGTCTACAGAGTGAGTTCTAAGACAGCCAGGGCTACACAGTGAAACCCTGTCTCAAAAAACAAAATGAAACAAAACAAACAAACACAAGCAAAATAGCCCTGAGATAACGAAACAAACACAACAACAACAACACAACCACAATACTGTTTTAAAGATAGAAACAGTTTTGAAGATTGTATTTTCTAGGTTGGGTCCTTTCTGAAAGTTTGAAGGTTCTTTGCTTTAGTAGGAAGTAAGCTTTAGCCAAGCTAGGAGCTCCGTAGCCTGGGCATCAGGGTTTCTGTGTCATCATGAGTTTCTCCCACATGTGGCATGCCTTCAAGCCCCACGACCCAACCTTTAGCAATTATATTCTTTCCCCAGTGACTCATCATGAACTTGCTGTAGGGGACACAATCGGGTCTCAGGAGCACCCAAGCTTTTTTTTGTGTCTTGTTTCCTCAATGTTTTGTCACCCATTTCTAGGTGTTAGCTGAAACCACCTCGTAGGATTTGATTAGAGTTCTTGGTACCAGGCAGTGGCAGTCTACTTGATTAGTGCAGGAAATCAGGGACTTAATCCGTAGTAACACCTAGGTCCAAATGCAAAACAAAACAAAACAAAACAAAAAACAATAAGAAAGAGAAATGAATAACTACATAATAAATTTCCCTCCCTCTCTGACCATGTAGGTATATTGACCTCTACAAGGGCCCTTGTAGCCTCACAAAGGGAGTGGACGTTACAGAAAGCCTTTTTTATCTCCACCTACAAGGTTCCCTTCCTCCCCTTATGCAGAATCTTGGCTTTAGGATGGTCAAGTGTTTACCAAAAGAAAAGATTTAGACAAAGTTTGTCTCATTCTCCTTGGGCTGTGAAAAAGATGAAGTTTTCATGCAACGACCACCATTGAAGTATGCATACAGAGATAAAATTGCATAATGCCATCTTCACACAAGCGTTGCCATCATGTATTTACTTAAGTCAGGCATGGAGTCTTTGCAGAGCTAAGAGACTCAGTAGAGGGTTGAAATCAGGACACTGGAGACCTCTTCCCAGCAGCTGTCATTTAAAACCGAAATTTACTTATTTATTTCTATGTATGTTTATATCGTTCATGGAGACTTAAAATACCAGCAGTCAGATGCTGTAGAGAGGACCGTGTAGATGGTCTGACATCGATTTGATTGGCTCTGACTTTTAGAAAGGTTCTTTCTCAGATATTCTGTACCGTGTAGGCCTGTTAAAGTTATCACTTTATATAGTACCAAAGAAGTGTACGTTTGCTTGTATTTTGAAATAGCCAACTTTCCCTGGTCTTTCTTGGTAGCGTGCTCAGTGAGTGGCTACTGGAACCTGAGAAGAATGTGACTCACCTGTTAGCGTTGTGGGCATTCCCCGACTCTTGTTGAGTCTTGCCTCGCTGTCTAGATTTCCCCTGTACTTTAGCCCGTGTTTTATGAAGTGCATTTTCTGTGCTGAGATTGCCTTCCCAGCTCTTTTTTATTTACTAATCTGTCTCCTAAGGTATGGTTTGAGAAGAATCAACAGCACAGCACAAAATAACAGACAGCTTTGCTGCGACAGGGGCACAGCAAAGTGGGTGGGGCATTTCATCCCCACTGTGGCCAGCTCAGCACTTGCTCAGCTCTGCTCTCCGCTGTTGAGCTGGCCACAGTTCTTCCCACTTGGGAAACTGATCAAGCCGAAAACCAGTGAGAGAATGAGCCGTTGGTGCCCAGTATTCCTTGAAGTTCTAGGTTTTAAAATTGTGCAACAAATATTACATTGTCTTAGGTCTCATTTCACCACTAGGTTTTGTCATGAAGGAAAAGTTCTTTGGCACAGATGCTTCAGATAGTCTACCATTAATTACCAGTGTGTAGCGTGTTCTCTTCTAGGGGTGAACACTGCTCGTTTAGTTGACATTCTCTCGTTTGGCATCTACTGTGGTTAGGTGTCAATTCTCTCTCTCTCTCTCTCTCTCTCTCTCTCTCTCTCTTTTGTATTTCTTTGTAGCTTTGGAGTCTGTCCTGGCACTCACCCTCCCAGAGATCTGCTTGCCTCTCTGCCTCCCAAGTGCTGAGATTGAAGGTGTGCACCACCACCACCACCACCTGGCTAGATGTCAATCCTTGAACTGGTACAAAGAAAGTAGAAAGGTTACTGGACTACAATTAAGGGCAAAACAATGCTAAGGGATAGTGGATAATATTGATTATTGGCATGGTTTGTTCTGAACGCTAATATGACCTTCACAGCCATCCTCTGAGGCAGGTACCATCACAACCCCATTTCATCGCAGTGGAAAGCTAAGCACGGAGGTTTTGTATTTTCTCAAGGCCACACGGTTTGCTGGGGCATTCGTGGGTTTCACATCAGGTCTGCACCTCATTGTGTTCTAGGACATGCTGGGCCCTCCTGCTGCCTTAGTTGGCCTCTATGCTGAGTGACCTAGGTGTTTTCCTTGTGTCCTCATCCACCATAAGTTTGTTCTCACCTGCCTGGTCCCTCCACTGCATCAAGGAAAGCCTGTGTATGTTCACTGGTCTCAAGAGGACAAATAAGGCGGCTGAAGCCTGGCTTCATGCCACATGTATGAGTGTTCACCAGCATTTACTTTATTCTGTAGATACTGTGTGCATACATGTATAGCTAAGCAGGGAGACTCACAAACAGACAAGCCTAGACTCCGACGGAACACAGGAGCAAAGAATCACAAATCAGGAAAGCAGTGTGAAACTGAATAGAAATAAAAGTTAAAAAAAAATATAGTTCCATGCCTGTAAGGATAAGCAGACGGCAGCCATAGAAGACCGGGTCGTGTAAGCCTCCAGCAAAGGCGGGAGAGCATAGGGGACAATCCTGGAGAGCAGAGCGCTTGGAACGTCAGAGCTAGTGAAACTCACTCAAAGTAAGTTGTAGAGGAGGTTCTAGAAATGAGCATCTAACTACGCAACAGGTGGTATTTTATTTGACACAAGGCTTTTGATACAGACGAGATGGGCCGGAAGGAACGCTGAACAACGGAGGGTTCTGTTTACAGAGAGCACACATCTAAGTGCGTGTAAACATTTGTTGTTAACAGCAGCCACCATGGCGCCCTCAGAGAGAAGAGGGTGTGGATCACAGAAAGGCCAGGTGGGAGTGAGGGGGGTGGGCAGCGGGTCACACAGATCCACCCAAGGAAGCTTTGGGAGCTCCAGCCCCCAGCCTTCTCTGGCCCCTGTGAGCTGCTCATGAATACTGGTAGTCATCTAGAGTATGAGGTCTTAGCTACCGCTAAGATCAGGCAGCTCCAGGATGGGTGGGTAAGGTCCACTGCTACTCACTGCTGCTGCTTACTGGACTCGACTCATAGGTGCGCATGCGTCCGAGGCTCTGCCCGGGAGTCGGGGAGAGGTCTGCCCTGGAGTTGTGGCTGTGGGTGAAGAAGGGCTTTCTGGTGTCCTGGGGCCAACACTATGCTGGATCTGAGTCTGAGAGATAAGGAAGGAAAGTTTTCACTGGGAGGAGCTTAGAAGAAAAGACCGATTTTGTAGAAGGAGAGCTTCCATCTCAGTCCATGGCTGGCAAGCTGGGTGCTTTCTGATTCTGGGCTGAAGTGAGTGCTGTCTCCACACTGAAGCATTTTGGCCCCTGGATGAGATAAAGGGGCTGCCTCTAGCTTTCCTGTTATGCGTCCCTATCCTCCCTCCCTCTGCCCCGTCCCCTCACCGCTCCCTCATTGTGACTAATTTGTTGTTTGCTTTCTTGTCTTTACTAGGGCGCTACATCCAGGTCCACGGTAAGGGCACACCTTGCTGGTTGTCTTGACCACTCCTCTTACTGTTTCTTTAGGTGCGGTTGTACCTGCTTGGTAGCATTAGTAACTGTTGAATTAACGCCCCCAGGTCATCCTTAGGGCTTCTCTCACTCTACACAGAGAGTTCTGTAAATGTTCATTACAGAATAAAGAAATAAGGAGGGAAGCTATGGCTTCCCGTTCAAGAGTCTGGATCCACCACTGAGTGCCCTTAGACGTTTGGAAATGCATTCAGCCTCCCAGAGTCCCAAATCCTTCATATGTAAGTTGGGGATGGTAATAGTGCCCATAGAGTGGTTGTTAGAATATGAATGCCCCAGTGGAGTTGTTCCCTATATTAGACAACATTTCTTATTTCTTAAAGGAACAGAACTGACATTTTATCTATCTATCTATCTATCTATTTATCTATCTATCTATCTATCTATCTATCTATCTATCTATCTATCTATCTATCATCTATCTATCATCTATCTACCTATCTATCATGTGTGTATATGCATAATCTATATAAATCACATATAATAAATATATAGTATATATAATAAAAGCACACAGGCTGTGTTCTCGGTAGTCCAATAATGACTGTCTCACAGAAAGACCAGGAATCTGATAATTGCTCAGCCATGAGGCTGGATGTCTCAGCAGTCCCAATCTGGTGCTGCAGTCCCAGGAGTTCCTAGAAAGCTGCTGGTCTTCAGTCTACATTGGAATCCCCAAGAACATTGGTTCTAATACCAGTGAAGAAATGTCTCAGTAGCAGGGAGAGTGAGGGCAAGCAGACACAAAGCAGAAGCCTCCTCCTCATGGTTCTTTCAGAGGGGCTGCTGCCAGCAGGTGTGACCCAGATTTGGCGTGGGTCTTCTCACCTCACATAATTCAATCAAGAAAATCCTTCACAGGTATGCCTGACTGCTGGAGTTTTAATGACCTTAACTAATCTTGCTCACCCCTAAAGGCCTGGCCCCTGAACTTGTCCTACCTCTTGAACTAAGTCCTACCTCCTTGGGTTTGATTTTTGAGACTGGCCTTGAACTTCTGCTTCTCCTGCCTCTACCCTTTTAGTGTTGGGGTGACTAGCATTACATCTGTTTTATGAGATACTGGTGATTTGAACTTGAGGAGCTTCATGCATGCTAGGCAAGCCCTATACTAACTGAGCCACAATTCAGCTTAAAGTCCATCGTCTTACTGTCTCACATAGGGATTAGGTTATAACACATGGTGCCTTGGGAGGGTGTTTGAATTTCACCGGAGCCATCACATAACTGAATACCATCCTTGACAGATGGCACTGTGAGCTCTGGTTCCTGGCTGGTGGACATGCTCCTTACAGCAACTTGCACTCAGCAGCTACTTCCCACTCTCTGCTTTGCTCATGATCTCTGGCATTACCTTCTACACTGCGGTGTTTTGAGAAAGAGTGGTTCACACAGGCTCATGTATTTGAATGCTTATTCATGATGGAGTGGAACTATTTGAGAAGGATTAAGAGGTATGGCCTTGTGGAGTGGATGTGGCCTTGTTGAAGGAAATGTGGGCTTTAAGTTTTAAAAAGCTCATGCTAGGGACAGTTTCTCTCTCTCTCTCTCTCTCTCTCTCTCTCTCTCTCTCTCTCTCTCTC